TACTATGTATTCCAGACACAGAGAAAAATTTAAAAATAAACTTACACTCTTTTGATGTGCTGATTTTTTTCTTTCCAACAGAAAATTCTAAAACATATAGTAATTTTGATATATAATTCCTATTAACTGGAATATTTTTTTCTTTAAAGCATTTTATATACACATTTTTATTTTTCACTTTGTCAATAACATGTAGTAATGTTGAAGGAGTTTTTTTCTTACACACTAAAATACATCATCTGTAAGTAGTTGAGTTTCTGTTTTGTCATATACTCTGAAGAAGAAAAAAAAATTGCTTACGGTAAAACATTGTGCACATAAAACATATTGAAGGATTATGTTTTGGAAACAGTTCAATTCAACAGAAATGTAATGGAAAATGTTTACGTGCAAGGCACATGACACCAGGTTTAGATCACAAAGGAGAGATCAAAAAAAGTTTCCTGTGAAAGTGAGCCATTTTTTACTAATATCCACTTTGAAAATAGTGATCTGATGTACTCCCAGATCAAATCTAAAATGAAAACAGTTCATTTAACACCTATCATTGATTTCAAGAAGATCCAGGATTTTGGTGACAGGCAAAATAGTTTATTCTAATTATATGATAAAGACACTTTAAAGCTATGCGGTGTAACTACCTTAAGGAAATGTTAAAGTATAAATTTGTTTCACAATTAATTGCTGTTTCAAGTGATTAAATGTATTATCTTAATGACTACTTTAGGTTGCCTATGGACAATGTTATTCATGCAAATGTATTTTAATCTTCTGCTTCTAAATAATTATTCCTCTAGAATGTCAACAGTTTTCTTTTTCTTCAAGATTATATTTTTGCTTGATCATTGCTCTGCTTAAAATTCTTCCAATATTTTCTATTGTTTTCAAGACAGATTGTGAATTTCCAAAGCCTTGCGGCGTCTGCATATTCCCACCTATTACATGCATCCTTCACTCTCAGGCTGCTCTTTTCCGAGAGGCTTCCTCCCAACACTGCATCTTTGCAAATCTAGACCCTCCACCTGATTTATACTTCATTTTCTCTCCCTCACATACTTCCCCTAACATTAAGGTACACTTTTATTTTGCATTCCCAGCCATCAATAATTCTTAGCCTTGGGTCCTCAACAAATATTTCACACTAATGACTGGTTGAATGAATGAAGTTCAAGATATTGAGTTCATCGACTAATGATTAGAAGTTTTAAATGCACTGGTATAAAAGCCTAAGAATGAAACTGAAGCTCTCCTTTCACTTACCCTTGAGTGGGTTTTCAAATAAGTGTATGAGTCACATTTTATAAATTCAGAGCAATGAATGTATCACCTCTTTGTAAATGTAGTCTAGGTGAAAATTTTATATATTATTAGTATCACCTTTGACTCATTATATCTTTTTTTGGGGGTGCGGGGAGGAGTGGATTCTGTGGCTGAGGCTGGAGCGCAATGGCGGTTATCTCAGCTCACTGCAACCTCACCTCCCGGGATCGGCAATTCTCTGCCTCAGCCTCCTGAAGCCAGATTAGACACTGCCATCATGCCCAGCTAATTAAAAAAAAATCAAAAGCTAGTGTGAAAAAAATTATGTGGATTATATGCTCTTCAAATATGTATGATAGCTTGTTTAGTTATTTATTGATTGGTTATTTATTTTAAAGACAGTGTCTCACTCACAATACAGGCTGGAGTGTAGTGGCTTAATCACAGCTCACTGCAGCAGCCTCCTGGAAATCAAACAATCCCCACGCCCAACCTCCCAAGTAGCCGGGACTAGCCCAGTGTCACCACACCTCCCTAATTTTTGTATTTTTGCTGGAGAAGAGGTTATGCTATGTTGCCCCAGGCTGGTATCCAACTCACCAGGCTCGGACATCCTCCTGCCCTGGCCTCCCAAAGTAGTGCAATTCCAGGCATGAGCCACACACCCCGGCCCCATTGATTGTTGCTGTTGCAGATACTGGTTCTTTTATTGATGCAGTTTAAGTATTAAAAAGGTATTGTTTTTTCATTAAAATTTCATACTAAAGTAATACCCATGGGAAAGTAAATTTCATACTGACTGTAGCTAGTTCATTTGCTACTTATATAAAAAACCACTTGAACTGTTTTTCTCTGTCTATTATTTGCTTTATTGAATTACAATTAATGTTCCTGATTTAAATTATGAGTGAAACAAAAACAACAAATTTACAATCTCTTGTCCTTGTGTGACGTTTTTTTGTGTGTGTGTGGTTTTGTTTTGTTTCGTTTTTTTGAGACAGAGTTTCACTCTGTAGCCCAGAGCACAAGTACAGTGGCACAATCCTTGCCTCACTGAAACGCCTCCGTCTCCCAGGCTCACACAATTCTCCTGCCTCAGCCTCCCGAGCAGCTGGTATTACAGGTGCCCACCACCATGTCTGGATAACTTTTGTATTTTTAGTAGGGGATGGGGTTTCTTCATGTTGGCCAGGCTAGTCTCGAACTCTTGACCTCAAGTGATTTGCCTACCTCGGCCTCCCAAAGTGCTGCGATTACAGGCATGAGCCACTGTGCCCAGCCCATTTTTCGTTTGTTTGTTTGGGGAATGGCGTCTTGCAATGTCACCCGGAAGTGCAGAGGTCACGATCACGGGTTATTTAGTAGAGACAGGTTTCACCATGTTAGTCGGGCTGGTCTCAAACTCCTGAGCTCACGCAATCCATCTACCTTGGCCTCCCAAAGTGCTAAGATTACAGGAGTGAGCCACTGTGCCTGGACACTATCAAACTTTTTAAAGCTTTAATTCTTCACCTTGGATATAAAATGTCTGACACATGCTGAATACAGTAAACACATGACATAATAAGTAATAATTATAAGCTCCCAAAGGGGTTCTGGCACAGAGTAAGCACTAAATAAAGTAATAAATAATAAAAAGATGATAATAACAAGAAAATGCTTAGTACCTTAGTAAAGTAGTAAATAATAAAAAATGACAATGATAATAACAAGGAAGATGCTTAGTGCCATAAAGATACCTGACAGTTGTTAAGTGGACAAGTGGATAAATGAATAAAAAATATTTTTTAGGAAATTCTGTTGGAAAAATGCAGAAATTCAATAGGGACACCTGTACTGTATTATGAGCACCTCAAAGACCCAAACTATGTGTATTCTATCTTTGTCTCTTGCAACTTACAAAACCTAACTTATAGAAGTCCTTTGATAAATATATAATAAATATGTGCTCATATAGTTCATATTGTACAATGCATTATGTCACATCTAGGTATCACAATAGCATTTTTGTTATTATGAAAAATTTTTGTAACTTTGTTATAATTTGTTGAGCCTAGAGTTAAGCTATTTGAATATTTATAATGATAATATTTTGACTATTAGAAACACAGTATCTTGTTGTAACAAATTACTATTAACACACTAATTATCCAGCATATAGAACAACATATCTTGTTCTAATGAAGTAAATATATCTTATTTGGTTTCAACCTAGGGGGAATGAAGTTGATAATAGTGAGACCTTGTTGGTACAAGACTATGTAACATAACCTGCGCTTCTCAACAAAAAATTGCTTTTCTGACTTCTACATTCAGTAAGTATCTTTGAAAAATAATCTCCTATTGGTACTGAGGCACCCTGGCTAAGTTTTGTGATTCTTGTTGGCATTTGTTTATGGTGCCAGAAAAGTATTATTAAATTTCAAGTTCTAAAGATAGTTACTTTTTTAGTGACACAAGTCACTATGTCCCACAGTTGATCCTTGAATGAGGGTTTCACTGTAGGAGCCCACTAATAGACAGATTTTTCTTTTCCGTTGCCACTGCAAGATAGCAAGACAAATCTCTCCTCTGCCTCCTCCTTATCAGACTACTAACATGAAGGCAAATAAGAATGAAGACCTTTATGTATAATAATTCACTTCCACTCAATAGTGAATATATTTTGTCTTTCTTATAAAAGTTTCTTTCTTCCAGCTCACATATAAAATAGAAACTATGAGTTAATTGACTGTTTATGCTTTCAGTGAGGCTCCAGATCAACAGTGGACTACTAGTAAAGTTTTGGAGGAGTCAAAAGAAACAGATTTTCATATGAAGCAGATTTTCAGCTGCATGGGGGATCAGCACCCTAACTCTCATTGCTCAAGACTCAACTGTAATTAATTCTCATTTACTAAATCCAAACTATGTATTGTAAAAATTAAATAGAGCCCAGAAGTTCAATATCAGCCTGGGCAACATAAGGAGATCCTGTCTCTACAATAAATAAATAAATAAATAAATAAATAAATAAATTTTTAAAACTGTGTTTCTTCATCGGTTATTGTGGGAGTTCAGTCAGGCTGGTGAAAAACATTTTAATATGAAGTTATAGGACATAGACACAAATCTTCTTAGAAGGCCAGAGGGTTTTGTAAAAGTCTCAAGATAAGGTTATGGCTGAAAGCAGCCTAATTCTTACCTTGAGTAAATAGCTTAAAGTGGGTACAAAGAAAGGTAGAGTAGTTTATCTAAATAGCTTATTTACTTATGTGGTCTTAAGACTAACTTTTGATCACCCATGGGCAGGATGGTTCTCCTGGGGTGGGGGGGTGACCAGATTAATTACCCACAGGTGTGTGGACTCAAAGCCTTTGTCATTAAAACTTTGCTAATAAATGCCCACAGGGCCAGCTAGCCAGGACTGTGGCTGCTGACTCTTTACAGCACCTTCCTTGGTGTCTGTAATCAGCTCAGAACCCTTGCTGCTCTTTCACTGAATATGGGTGTCTGGGTATGTGTCTCAATCATCTGTAGGACGGACCGCCGCAGGTTATAATATTCAAATGTTACAGCTTTCTGTTATTAATTCCTACTTTTCATTATTAGATGTTCAATTCTTTGTGGCTTGTAATTCAGGGCATGTAAGCTACTTTATAATTTGTAATAAAATTTGTTTATAAATATATTAATTCATTAATATAGGAAGCAGATTTTCAGCTGCTTAAATTAAATTGGCTAACCTAAGCATCCCCTATTACTGAGTTCATCAATCACAACAAGGGTTATACATTTTATACCAAGCCTAAGTTGTTAGGACAATTGAGGAAACATACAATATACAAACTTAAAAATTGCATTACTTATGTATAGAAAAGTATTATATAGGATTTTAGGGACCATAATTAAACAAATATTTTTTCAAATAATATTTTTTGAGATTATAAACTACCTACAATGAAATTATTAACTAATTCTGAATTATAAACTAAAAATTAAAGCTACATATATACACACACACACACGTACATATGTAAACACATGCTATTTACACATTGCTTTTTGAATTGCCTTTTTGTGATCAACACTTCCATAATCTTATGGTAGCACCACCAAGAGTAGTTTACTATCAGAAGTCTTACCTGGACCAGCATTTTTAGATAATTTTCGTATATATTCCAAAAGTTGTTGATGAATGCTAGGTATTAAAATGTAATAAATAAAATTACTATTTTAACACTGATATTATAAAAAACATTTACCAAATGTATTAAGTTCTTAGAGTATTTCAGACAATATCAGAGCTAATATCAGAACATTACTTATTCCATAGACTTTAAGTTTGTTAGCTCTATGAACTTATTAAGTTTCTAATTAAAGAAGAATTAAAGTAAGATGAAATAGTCATGAATTGAGGGCAGTATAACTCAGTAAATTAACTACAGTTAGCTTGGCTTAATGGAAAATGTCCCTAACTCAGAAAAAGTCCTAGCATGTTACCAATAGGTACTTTTTGTTGAACAAGCTGCTTCTCTTAGGCTCAATGTCTTCTAAAAATGAGGATTTTAGAGCCTCATTTCACTAGGTTATTATAAAGATTTAACAAGATAACATTTTTAAAATGCTCAAAGAAATAGTGAAGCAATGAAATAACTTGTTCTTGAATCTTATTGCTGAAACTATTTTAAAATTCCCAATAAAACCCAATGTGTTGGCCTGGTGTAGTGGCTCATGCCTGTGATGCAAGCACTTTGGGATACTGAGACAGGAGGATTGCTTGAGCCCAGAAGTTCAAGACCAGCCTGGGCAACAAGGGAAGACCATATCTCTACAAAAAATAAATTTAATTTTTTTAAAAAAGTGTTTCTTCATAGGTTATAATGTTCAAATGTTGCAGTTTTCTGTTATTAATTCCTACTTTTGGTTATTAGATGTTCTAGTCTCTGTGGCTTGTAATTCAAGGCATCTAAGCTATTTTATAATTTGTAATGAAATTTATTTATAAATGTATTAATTCATCAAATTGGATAACCTGATTATCCTCTATTACTGAGCTCATCAGTCACACCAAGGGCAGAAAACTAATAGATGTCAGCATCTGGCTTGGACTACTACTACTCTTTATCTACCTCCTTAAACCTGAACTAACAAATCTTTGTTAAAAATGAGGCTTAGTCACTATGTTCATTTCCAGCTGCTGTGGAAGACAAAACCCTACCACTGTTTTTTGTAAGTTCCACAAAGAAGATGCAAGTTGTTATTTTCTCATTTCTGAGATGCCTACTTACAACATATTTGCACAGAAGATCCTATGTGTTACTCACCACATCTCATTTCATACATCACCTTACATAAATATTTTTTGTATGAAAATCACAACTGCAATACTTGGTGTCACGCATTTTGCTTTGACTCACACCGTTTCCTTGGAGCTAGTTAGAAGGTAGTCAAATGTCTTTTTTGGGGACTGCAAGAAATATGCAACACTTCACAGATTTGTGTGCCATCCTTGTGCAGGGACCATGCTGATCTTCTCGACATTGTTTCAATTTTAGTATATGTACCACTGAAGCCAGAACAGATCCCAACTTTTACACATGAAGACTGATCAATGATGGATGAGGCTTAGCTCTGTTAAATCTAACTAACTTACTTGAGATAGAGTGAAGTCTATTGAATGGCTTCATGGTAATGCAGAATTTGAAAATATTTTAAAAACTCGAGATAGAGATGCAAGTAGCATGGGAGATTTTTGCTTTTAGGAAAAAAGAATCACTTGAAGGGACAACTACAAGTTGGAAACGACTACAAATTTGGAAAGATGACATAGGATCTTACAGAATAAGATGAGGCCTTCCACTACCTATAAAATGGTGCCTCACGGGATATAAATTGCCAGGGATATAGATCTGGTAACAAAATAAAAATGGATCTCTAATTTATTCCTGTAACATTATTTCAACCTGTCTTACAGTTTTAAACTATCACAACTAATATTTGCTAGAGAAAATAGAAAAAAGTCATTCAAAGGATAACTTACCATGAAGGTCTAGGCCAAGTCCAGGCTAAGATGTGGGTTTCACATCAGGTTTTGAGTGGGAGGAGAAGGGTCAATTTGCTCACTATGTGAGTGGCTAAAGTTAAAAGTCCTAGCTGCCAGAGCAGGGTGCTGGTACTTTGGAAATAATGGCTGAGAATATGTATGTGAACTTTTAAAAAACTAATGACTTTGAAGTCTACATATGGATCACCATAAAGGCTGAGGGATCTATGTCAGTAAGGTCACAAAGGTCAATCATTACCAGACTGCAGGAGCAGTTTCAATGGCAATGATGCAGCAACAGAATCAATGGAAACAACAAAATTCCTACTTTTATACATGAAGACTGATCAATGATGGATGAGGCTGAACTCTGTTAAATCTAACCAACTTACTTGAGATATAGCGATTTCCGCCTCCAATCCTTTTGACTTATACAAAAAGAATGTCTTCCTTGGACTTAGGGAACCCTTTGGATTTTTTTTAAAAAAAATTCAAGTATTTAGATATGGAAGACAGCCCCTAAGGGACACTATCAGGTTTTCTGCTAAAGTGGACATTTCAAGACCCAAATAACTAATTAGAAAAATCAACTAGACAACATTAGGGATAAAGTTGTTGAAAGTCCTTAAATAAAGAATCTTGGACACGATACTCCTAACTAGTCTAGCTTTTTGCCTAGTTTCTGGCTGATGAAGCGAACTAACTCACATTCAAAAACTACCTGAAACAAACTATAAAATCTCACCTAGCCTCTAAATGTAAACACTTACTGATCAAATCCACAAGCAATAGCATAACGTACTGCAGTCATTCCACACGTATCTTCAGCAAAGACGTCAACATTTCGCAGAAGCAGCATGCCGACTATCTCTGATGATCCATGACATACAGCGAGCATGAGAGCTGTGCTAAAATAACAAAGAGATAACTTCATTATTATGAGCAGAACCAATTTAATATGTGCCTGTCAATATAGAATTAACCATTTACATGTAGTAACAAACATAAATATCTTGAGTGCTCAAATGTTTATCCTTGTAAATCACCACGAAGGCTGAAAGGAAGGAGCAAAAAGACTCATGTCCCAATGGGATATGGCATACTAGAATTGACTAATATAAAGTCCTTTGAGGGGCAAGAAATTATGCTCTGTTCACTAATCTAACAGAGGCAAAGATTTAAGTGAAGAATTATCTATTCCTTCCTTAGTCTGATGTAATAGTTTATACTTCAAAATCAGCTAGAAGTCAGACCAGTGACAGCAATCTGAAGGCTTAAAACAATATTAGGAATAATGATATTAGTAGTAGTCATGGTAAGTTTAGTTAATGATGCTGATAAGAATGTATGAGACCCTGAATTAAATGCTGTTGATATTCATAATGTTACTTCAATGCAATCATCCTTAAAGGACATATTATTATTCTCTTTTTCATATAGAAAATCATACTTGGTATTAAGTAATGTTTGCAAGGTCACACCTATCAAGTGAGGAAACTAGAAATTAAACTCAGTCTTGTATGAATCGAAAGCCTCTTTTCTCTTTATTACTCACCTATGGCTTATCTTAATTAACTAAAATGTTAATCCAATTAAAGATGTATTTCTTCCCTCTAACCATACAAATTAAAAATAAAAATACACTATGAATAAAAAAGGAAAAATAAATAAATTCACAGTATCTGGTGATAGCAATTAATAGTCACATAGGGATAACCTAAAATTAATATTCTTCAAATGAAACAACTTAAAGTAAACAGTTATCCTAAAGACAAAATGGTTTTAAACTCCTATTTCTATTTAATTTTGCTTTTTTTTCCTTTGGGACAGAATCTCGCTCTGTTACCCAGGCTAGAGTGTGGTGGCACTATCTCAGCTCATTGCAACTTCTGCCTCCAGGTTCAAGCGATTCTCCTGCCTCAGCCCCCCGAGTAGCTGGGACTACAGGCATGTGCCGCCATGTCCAGCTAATTTTTGTATTTTTAGTAGAAACAGGGTTACACCATGTTGGCTAGGCTGGTCTCAAACTCCTGGCCTCAAGTGATCCAACCACCTTGGCCTCTCAAAGTGGTGGGATAACAGGCGACAGTTACCATGCCCAGGAAATATTGCATTTTTTAAAAAGTGTATAAAAAACAGAAGTCAGAAAAATACTATAAAAGTGTTAATCATTCAATATTGAATTATAAAGTAAACTTTAAAAGTTCATACTTCTTAAAACTAATAGAGAACCACTTTAGCTAACAGAAGATAATGCAACCAAAAACATCAGATTACACATAGGAATCAGTCAATATAATAAGAGAAGATAAATCCTACTATATACTGTTCTTTATGTTGACCAGTCAAAATAATTGCTTTTCTTCTGATAATTTGTGTTGATATTTTCACTATAATCTAATAATTTTAAGTAAATGTTATTAACATTTCTGACAAGTGTTATTACTCTAGAACACTGCTCAAGTGTTTTTTAATAAAAAAAGAAATACTATACCATTTAAACCTATTGACTGCATTTGCATTTGCATTTTTTGTCAGTAAAAATTCCACAATTTGCTCACTTCTTTTCGTTATGGCCAGTAAAAGTGGTGTGAGGCTAGCCTGTAAAATAGCAAAATAGTTTAAAATTCAGGAAATTACATATTTCTCAGCTGAACTGAAAACCTTATATAATATCCTATGAACTTAAACACATAAAATAGAAAGTAAGTCAATAGCAGTCCCTTCTTTGTCCCTTTTCTGTGCTTTCCCATGCACTGCACCTTTCCTTGTAAATATTCAGCCTCTGCATCACCATGTTAACTCTGGTTATCTCTGGTTTCCCATCTAAACCAAGAGCTTCTTGAGGGCAAGGGCTGTATCTTTTATCTCTATATCCTTAAACCCTAAGACATAGTAGTAAATACTTTGTTTTTGACTAAATTAGTAATCTAAATTGTTACCTCTAAAGCAGTGTTTCTTAAACTATATTCCAAAGAATAATTACCTTACCAGAAGCACTATACCTCAACAGATTCTACCATTATCTATTTTCAAGAAATATTATAAAACTGTGAATTAAATGTCCATTATTCAATAAATGACTTGAACTTTGACTATTCCTTATTTGACAATATATTTCTGTGGCAGACATTAACATTTGACAAATTATAATTTCAGATCTGAAAGTTTTCCAAGAAAAATGGAGGTTTCCTCTGGGTAATACAAACTCGCTTGATTCTCTTCTATCAATAATCCCAAGATCCCAGATGCCGATGTCAAGCACACCTGTTCTACATGGGTCACTAAGGAAGTGACTCTAAATTAATAGAGATTGGCTTCAAATGAACTTTGATTGCTTATTATTAAATGGTCCATGGGGTTTCTCCTATTACAAGACAATAGAATTTTATCTCAGCTATTAAAAACTCAGTATGAAAGTTTATTCTCAATTATAATGATAATCCTAAGATTCTAATGCATATCTACTTCTTAAAATGCAACAATCCATTTTTATTCTGGTTTCTATGTAGTTGCTACTTAATTTTTGGCAAAATATCAAAAATATGAATAAAATGACTTATTAATGAAAGTTCTAACTCATCTATATGGATTAGCATAATAGAAGCCACTAAATCACTTGAATTTTAAGGGACAATTCTGAGGAGAAGGATGTAATATTTTCTGCAATAGGCATAACCTATTCAAATATAACCATGATTAATCTAAAAAGGCTTAAAGGCATTTTAATACAAGATAATTATTTATGGTTTATATACAGAAAAATCATTGTTTAAAAAGTCTTCTAAATTCTAGAAGTCAACCCCATTATTAATGAATTAATGTAAAATATAAACTATACAAACTATATATTATAAACACCTATCAACTGTCTTGAATACCTTGAAATCTTTACCAAAATATACTATGAAAGAGGAATTGATAACTGAAATATTTGCAGAGGCAAAAGAGATAAGTCAAGTAAGTGATGTAACTAGGTGGGCACAGAAGCAAACTGGAAACATATGCTTTATGTAAAGCTAGAACGTCTTCATAGTATACCAAACAGTCATATGGGCTCAAGAGACACCAGATTCAATCCTTTAAGAGGAAACCCAGATTTCTGCGTATTTCCTAAATTTTACACATTGACTCAATTTATGCAGGCAAATTTTGCTTTACTCTAGTTTTACACTAACTGGAAAGAAAAAAAACACTTGTATGGGAAAGAATATTTGAAAAACTTTTACCTTTAACAAATTCAAATATTTACCATGAATGCACAGAAAAGCCATACTCTCTAATAGTTCTTGTAAAAACATAAATATTTAAAGTAAAATCTTAGACAATTAACTTCTTTCAAGCTATTTTCATTCAAGGAATGTTTGAGCTTCCAAATATAAAAAACCGTACACATGTTAATGTTAAAACAAATTGATTTCAAATATTTTGAAAATAACATTGGTTAATGTCTACCTTGTTTTGCGTTTCGATGACTGCACCGTGGGACAGCAGTTTTGCCACCACTGACAAATTCTTATTATAAACAGCATAATGGAGAGCTGTGTTGCCATACACATCTACAATATTTAGACCGGCACCAGAGTCTACCAGAATATTTGCACAATCCTCCCTCTGGCATTGTAGAGCCTGTCAGTATTAAAGCAAGAATTATTATAAACTAAATAATTTATAATATAAATTATAAAGAATATAAATTATAAAGTATAGGAAATCAAAATAAATATTCCACAGGTTTCAAAACTAGTTGTATTTCAATGAGATAAATTCATTTTTAGTCTATGTATTTAAACTAAATCTATCTCCTGCTGAAAAAAACTGGCTACTGTTTACCTTCATTAGAGGTGTCCTGTTTTCACCATCAAGGACGTCAAGCTGGCACTTTCTGTCTACCAGAAATGTTACTACTGCCGCATGGCCATTGACACAGGCCCAGTGTAGAGCAGTCCTATGAGAGTGAGAGGACTTGTTGGCAAAGTGTAGTCCACTGTCTCAAAACATACAATTATTTATGTAATTGTAAACATTAAATGCCATGCTCTTTTTCTGCCTTCAAAACAAATATTTAATATTCTCCTGAAGAAAGTACAGTATTCATTTGCTCTCATTTCTCACTACATTGATGAAAGAGTGACCCATCTGAATAGAAAGAGCTTGGTCTTTGGATTCAGTTCAACTTGGGCTTGAATATTACTTTAAGGTCTTTCACTTTCTAGCTGTCACTTAAACTTTCTGCACCTCAATTTTCTCATCAATGAAATGAAGATGAATACAGCAGTTATCTCACAGGTTATCACTATGATGCCTCAATGAGAATCTATGCAAAGTATTTTGGAGAGTTCCTAGCACATGTAACAGCTCGGTAATTGTTAGATACTATAATTATTACTACTGCTTAACAAAGACAACATTTTAAGTAAAATGGTGCAAGTATGCCTACTTTGTGGTGTGTTTTAAAGGTTAGATATAACACTGTGTTTTAATGATTCTAAGATGCTCAATTTCTCATATTTTAACATTTCTGATTGAAATGCCACTTATAATTCATTATTTATTACCACTATGTTTGGCAGAAATTTAAACAATCTTTTACTGGTGCATAAAATAAGGAGGCATCACACAATTCACAGTGCCTTCCAAGAAGTGGAATATAGTATATACAACAGGACAAGGGCAGTCCTAGTCACAGGATTAACACTGAAAAAAATTTTAGCCTTTTAGAGTACTAAGCAAAAGGAGAGTTGACATAAAAACAACAAATTATTAAAACACAGTACTTCTTTAATATTTTAAAAGCTTCAAGCCAAAGGAAACTTGGGATTCAAATAAATAGGTATGGCTTATCTAATTCTGTATTTAGAATTAGAGAATGTATGTAAATTCTATTTAGATTTATAGAATACATGTAAATTAGGTATTTCCAATGATTAATATTGCTATTTAAACTATTATAAATTTCCAAAATTACTAGTTTCTCACTTCAGAAGTGTTTTTGTTTGAAAGATGAGAGGAAAAGCTTCAATTGAGATTCAATCCTAATACTCCAATTTTAAATCTCTCACTTTGCTCAGGCTGAGCAAGTAAGTGTGAAATTTTTAAGGATGAAAGGGTCTTGAGAGAATGTATCTTCTACATAATAGGCATTCAGCTTACATGCGATAAATGGATTAAAAGAATGGATCAATACAGTTGGGAAGTTCAGTATCTTAAAAAACTGCTATAAATAAAGCACTTATATTTGCTCTTTTATTTTTCTAATAACACTACACTAAAGTGATTAATCTATAGTTATTGACATGTAATAAATCTATATAATAAAAATATGTCTAATAAAATATATAAATCAATAAGCACAGATAAAAAGATTCTCTTCTGAAGATGCTAAAAGTTCACAGAACATACTAATCTGCAAAAAATAAAAATTAAAATATAGAAAGCAAGAAACTATTTTATTTGTGTAAAATTCATATTGCTGCTCCTTCCAAAAATTATTTTATTAATAATAAACTTTTACTAATAGCATTGTCCATGCTCAATGCAGAAATCAAAGATAATAAAAAGGAAAAACATTTTATATAAAAACAAATGTCCTTAACAAATTTTATATTTTGTACATAATTTCAGATAACACGAGACCATAGTCTGTGTATGTATAATCAAACTGAACTTTACTGTACCCTCACTTAGTATACCAAAATACATTTTCAAATGTCAACATATTTCTGAATATATTTCTACCTTGAGTGATCACATATTATCCCATGCTGTAAACTCACTGAAATGTACTTATAAAAGCCATTAAATGGATTTTTAATACATTGATATTTCAAGCAGTGCTCAGAAAAGAAATTGTGTGTATGTTTCATTATTTTCTAAAAATATTTTTGTGTAATAGAATTGACCACTAATGGGCATATACAATTTTTTTAATATGGTACTTACCATCAAATTGTCTATTTGAAAAGTCATCTGCAACTTAAACTTTAAGGAGTACTATAAATATCACTGCTTTTTATCCACACAAACTTTGTGGATAGAGAACAGTATTTGACTCCTTTTTTAACTTAAATGCCTTCCCTAACCGGGAACACTAAATTTGTTTCCTTTGTGCATAGGTCACTTGCAGATCTTAAAAAAGGACTTTGCCCAATTTTAAATTACAGGCCAAGTACTTTTTTTAGATCTGCAATTTAGATCTCTAATTTAAATTGCCCAATTTTAAATTAGAGGGATTTTTGTTGATTTGAGTGAATTCTCTATAAAATGAAGAGTTTTAAATCTAATATATATATATACACACACACACATATAGTAAATATTTTTACAAGTGTGCTGCCTTTTATTTTTTCTCATATGCAGGGTGGTTTAATTTTTGTTTTACTAAATTGCCCTTCAGAATGCTTGCTTCTGACAATCTTAGAAAAGTTTTGTCAACATAAAAATATATCTGTGTAAATAGGCATATATGTTTTCTTCTGTTATTTTTATCATTTTGTACATTAAAAACTTTTAATCTATATTCTATCAGGAACTTATTTTCTGGCATAAAAATCTAATTTTCTCCAAAAAGCAGGCATTTTACTTAGGAAACTAATTCTTTTCCTACTAGTAAAAAGTGTGACCATTACCAAGTTCTAAATTCTTACATATGTTTGGGTGTTTCTGGATTTTCTATTCTGTCGTATTAATTTACCTGTCTTCTCAGCTGTTAGTAAACAATTTGTGATTTTTTTTTTTTTTTTTTTTTTTTTAAGAGAGAGAGAGTTTCTCTGTCACCTAAGCTGAATTGCAGTGGTGGGATCTCCGCTCACTGCAATCTTCACCTACCAGGTTCAAGCGACTCCTGTGCCTCAACCTCCCCAGTAACTGGGATTACCGGCACCCGACATCATGCCTGGCTAACTTTTGTGATTTTGTAAGAGATGGTGTTTCACCTTATTGGCCAGGCTGTTCTTGAACTCCTGACCTCAGGTGATCCACTCGCCTCAGCTGCCGAAAGTGCTGGGATTACAGGCGTAAGCCACCATGCCCGGCCCATCTAGCGCAAGTTAATAGCGCATTTTGGTATCTAGAAGGGCAAGACTTTTCTACTCCATTACAAAATATGTAAAATGTCATCACAATAGTAAAAGCCTATATAATTCAAAAAATGTTAAAACGTTGATAACTTTATTTGGTTTATGTAAAATTGATAAAGAACTCGCATCTTAAGAAAAATCAGTCTTCTTAAATTCAAGAACATAAACCATCTTCCCACCTCAAAGTTTCCTTCTAAGGTCCCTCAGCAAAGAACATATTTACATAGACATTCATTGATATCAAAATGGATACTGGACTTTATCCAAAGAATGTTTAGCCAAGAAGTACATATATTATGGGAATTATTTCATTATGCACAATTTCATAATGTAGCTAACATTATCTTTTAAAGCTTGTACATTAAAAGTAAAATCCTGTATGTACTTAATTTTGTGAGTTAAATCATTAAAATTCTCTACACAGTGCTCTGTGAGAGGAAGTAGGAGTGAAGGAGAAAGCAGCTAAAGTTTGGGGTTGATTTTAAGGTGGCCTGGGCCTTCTGCCCAGCAGGGCGCCCCCATCCCAGGCCTGGGGGCCTGCCCTGGAAGAAGGCCTAGACCCTGGGGCCCATGGTGGCCGCCCTGCCGTCAGCCATTCCTCCACCTGCTCCCTTCCTCCCCAGGCCCCCCAGCCCCCAACTCTGAAGGGGAAATCCTCCTGCAGCCACCATCTCCTTCTGCAGCCCCGGCTCAAGCAGGGCCTGGTACCTCTTCCTGGCGTCTTTTACATTAAGGTTGATGGTCTTCTTCTTCAATGTCATCTTCTGTAGCTTTGAGACTTGGCCCCGGGAGGCAGCTTTATGGATCTTTGTAAGATCCCCGTACCGGATGATGTAGGAGTCGTTGTTGGTATACACTAGCTGGCTGAAGGGACTCGGGCGCTCCTGGCCCCTGGGCAAGTCATTGCCACCGACTGGAGAGAGCCACTGCATGGCTGCGGCAACCTGCTAGAGAGAGCCCGCGCCTCCGGATCGCCCTCCCCCAAACCCCTCCGTTGGCCCTAGCTTCCCGCTAGCCCTTCCCCAGCCACCACCCGCCCCCTCCCACCCCGATCATCCTTGCCCTTCTTCAGTCCACGCAGTGCCTCGACACCCGTAAAAAGTTCTGTTTTCGCCAAACTCTTGCACACTCAGGCCTCTCTCAGCAGAAACGCGCAGAGCAGAGCCGTTAGCCAGCAGCGCATGCGCAGTTCAGCAGGCTGAGGAGACACGCGCCCTGGCCACGTTCCCCAGGCATCGCGTGCAGGTGGCAACTGCCGCTGAGGCACTTCCGTGTTGGCAGGCCTCCCTGGAACGGAACATGGGGGGCGCCATGCCACATGGCCTGCTTGACATAGCCACTCCCGGCCCCTCCTCGACCTGCGATCCAGGAGCTGGACCCTGGCACTGGGCACGGTGCAGCCTCTGGGGTGGCACTGAGGGTCGGTTCCCGCCCTCCTGCAGTCAGGGACCCACCCCCTGATTTAGGCGCCCCAGAGGCTTCTGGCCCAAGGATCCGCGCTGCTGGTGACACTGACAGTGTCAAGGTTGCAGCCCCTGCTGCTGCATGCCATGTTCAGGTAGGAGCTGTACCTGAGTCCATGGTGGAGGCTAATTTTGTATTTTTTTTAGTAAAGACGGGGTTTCTCCATGTTGGTCAGGCGGGTCTGGAACTCCTAGGCTCAGGCAATCTGCCCAGGATCGCACAGTCCTGATCCCAGGACAGATTGCCTGAGCCTAGGAGTTCCAGAACTGTCTGACCAACATGGAGAAATCTCATCTCCACTAAAAAAAAAATACAAAATTAGCCGGGCATGGTGGCACATTCCTGTAATCCCAGCTACTAGGGAGGCTGAGGCAGGAAAATAGCTTGGACCCAGAAGGCGGAGGTTGCAGTGAGCCGCTCATGGAACATGGGTGGCGCCATACCACACAGCCCGCCTGAAATAGCCACTCCCGGCCCTTCCTCGACCTGCGATCCAGGAGCTGGACCCTGGCGCTGGGCACGGTGCAACCTCTGGGGTGGCACTGAGCGACTGTTCCACCCTTCTGCAGCGGGGGACCCACCCCCTGACTTAGGCCCCCTGGAGGTTTCTGGCTCAAGGCTCCACGCTGCTGGTGACGCTGACAGGGACGGGGGACGAGCCACCACACCAGGCCGATGTATTCCTTTCTGATGAATAAATTGACTGGGTGCCAATTTATCATCAGAAAATATGGATTACTTCACTAAACCATTTCCCAAACCTCTCCTCTCGGTGCTCTGCCTTGGTTCCTTTTTTTTTTTTTTTTTTTTTTTTTTTTTTTTTTTTA